TATATATATATATATATATCACCGAGAAATTAAGAATAAGAGATAAATTCATTAATTTACTAGTTAACTATTTCAAAAATTTTCCAACTTTTGTGTTTTGATCAATAAACCAAATGTTTCTTCGTTACCTATAGATACCTATAATTATTTTTTTGATACGATATATATCTCTATTTAACCTTTTCTTTTTAGTAAACTATTTGCATGTGGAAAGGACGTTTAAGGTCAAAACAATTAATTTTGTCACTTTCGTGATAAAAATATACAGAAAATTGATCAAAACCCATGTTCTTCATATGATTACGACGAGAAAAATGATGGAGAATAGGTCAAAATTGAGGAAAAAGAAAAGGAATTTAAGAAACGTTTGGTAGGACGCCGTTATCGTTATATGTAGCTTACACATTTGGCTTCTTACGATTGTAATAGTAGCAAATTGCATGGATATCTCAGGTCCTCAAGTAAAACATATTATATACATACACATCACAATTTTAAAGTAGAAAAAAGTTTTCTCAAGGGTACAAATTTAATGAAATAGATTCCTTGAAATGTCATGCAATTTTAGTAGGGATCAAAACATTAGTGCTTTATGCTTGGATTATTATTATTATTATTATTTATGTAAGCACTCTCTAATACCATTAGTGGATTGATGCAGCTATAAGAATGTCTTTTTTTCTTCTCCTCCTCTCAAGATGCATTTAGAATTTTATATATTTTATGACCCACTTTAGGAGTCTTGTCCAACTAATATGTTGTACACCATCGGTGTAACTGAACTTATTTTTACAGTGAAATTAAGTTAGATGCTTTCCGTTCAATTAATGGATCCTAGAATTTCTAAATGGCATCAATTATCTCAAGATGCATTTAGAATTTCATATATTTTATGACCCACTTTAGGAGTCTTGTCCAACTAATATGTTGTGCACCATCGGTGTAACTGAACTTATTTTTACAGGAAAATTAAATCAGATACTTTCCGTTCAATTAATGGATCCTAGAATTTCTAAATGGCATCAATTATCTCATCTTTTATTAGAAAATTTATATCTACTCGCTGACAAATCCTCAATCCATTTGAGTCCAATTCTGCAAAGCTCAATAACATTTTCTATATGCAGAAGAAAAGACGTAAAATCGTAATTACTTATCCTTGCATATGTCAAATAAGATCTCATGACCTCAAAGCACATGACCATATATTGCAAACCCTGACCGAAATCCCCAACGACAAAAAATATAAATTATTGTATAGAGAATTCAAATCAATTATTGTATCTACGTGGACTAGTACTCTACTCATATAGCCATGAGTCTCCGCCCTTAATCTTTTCCTTTATAAATACCACTGCAGAGTTTGCAACGAAAAGCATAGTCTAAATCACAAGCAATTTAATACATAGAAAAAAAAAATCACAAATTAGTGTAGCAGTAGTATATATTAATACATAGTCATGGCTGCTATTAAGTTGTCCTTGTTCATCTTGTGCCTTCCCCAATTGCTTGTTCTATTTTGCTCCTTTCAGCTTTGCTTTAGCTTTAGAGCAAAGCACTTGAACTTGTCAGCCATTGGCACTCATTGGGCGCCCGCCGGAGCTACATGGTACGGCAGCCCCGATGGCGCCGGAAGTGATGGTACGTCACTAATGATTAATTCCCATTAATACATACATAATGTACATAAAGAAATTATGATTGTGAGAGTTAAAAGAGGTCTAGACGCCTAGTTATGAACAACTTAAAATGTTTTAATGGTTTAATGCAGGGGGGTCTTGTGGATATGGAAAGTTGGTGTCGCAAACTCCTTTTTCATCCCTGGTTACAGGAATAAGCCCGTCTCTCTATAACTCAGGCAAGGAATGTGGAGCTTGCTATCAGGTATATATAAATAAGTGTTGGTTTTGTCTTTAATTAGCAAAAAATGCTTGGGCGGCATTACCGGTGTTGAGTACTACCATTAATAGAAGGTGAACCTTACTTATAACTCTCATATTACGAGACTTAACTTTTATAAGTAGATAGTGCTCAATATCATCAGTGTTCTGTAGCATTGTTCTTAATCAGTAGCGTTTGAGTTAATATATCAAAGGAAAAGAGCCTTTTTTTCCCCCTTTTCATGAGTCAATAATATTTTTTACTACTGATTGTTGAAATGACTTTTAATTCTTGTTTCTATTGTTTATAATTATTAATTCTCTATTCCTCTATAATAATACACATAAAACATTATTGATGTGACATGATGTACCTTTAAAAAGCACTATTCTTACTGGCATATATGTACTAATCATGGTAATTTTGTTTGGCAAAATATATAGGTGAAATGTACAAAACACCCATCTTGTTCTGGCAAAGCAGTGAGGGTAGTTATAACAGATTTATGTCCTGGATGTGTCTCCGAATCTGCTCATTTCGACCTCAGCGGGACTTCATTTGGCGCCATGGCTCTTCCGGGTCAAGAAGAAAAACTACGAGACGCGGGAGTTTTGGAAATTAGATATGCGCGGTATAATGTTTATAAATATTTAAATTTCGTTTATTTCACCAATTTGAGTTTTTAGTTCTAAATTTTTACAGTAAAAAACTCTAAAAAAATGTCACATCTAATTTTTTTCTACTACAGCAAAAAGTTCTTAGAAAATGTCACATCTCAATTCGAATTAAAAACTCAAATCCGCGAAGTGAACAATGCCTAATTGGGCTAGCTAGCTTTTACTTAGTATTCATATACTCAACTAGTTCATAAGAACAAATATTCACCAATTGAACATTAGGGTTAATCTCATTTTTAATCTTTATTTTAGTTCTTAAATCTTAACATGCTTCAAAACAAGTCCCTAATTAATTGTTAGTTATTCCATCCATCCAGCCATCAAAATCTCGAAGGAAAATGACATACAATGACCATGTGTGGTTTGGCAACGGAGGTTAATTTTGTAATTCTACATGTTAGGGCATAATAATATTTGAGAAGGACAAGACGCCCTTTTCTGTCATAACAATATTTGAGAAGGACAAGACGCCCTTTTCTGTCAATATTTGAACGAGCAAATGAACAAAATGATTAATTTGGGACAACGAAACCTCTAGTAGTTCAGGACTTTTGAGGACTTCTTTTGAGATGTTTTAAAAGTTATGGATCAAAATGAGTTTTCGTCATTGTTAAGGATTAAAAATGGAATTAACCCAAACATTCAGTAATGTGTTGTGCGTGACATTCCACTACCAAACCTAATTAATTAAAACAATCTCTTTGTCATCTTTTTTTTTTTCCTCCTAGTGTGGCATGTGACTATTCAGGGAAGACCATAGCGTTCCACGTTGACCAAGGGTCAAACTCCAACTACTTTGCCACAGTGGTCGAGTTTGAAGAGGGAGATGGTGATCTAGGCGCCGTCGAGCTCAAGGAGGGTTCGTCGGAAGAATGGCGGAAAATGCAACAATCATGGGGTGCGGTTTGGAAACTAGACGCAGGGGCAGAACTACACCCACCATTGTCAATCAAGTTGACATCCCAATACTCAGGCCAGACTCTTATAGCAAAGAATGTGATCCCTCAGGGTTGGAAGCCTGGTGCCACCTATAGATCCGTGGTTAATTACTTATAATATTCACTTCATATATATATATGTGCGCGCCATATAGTCTTAATTATGTTTCCATCTTATATTATATGTGTGGAAACTTGTAGCTAGGCATGGTGGGGGGTTTTTTTTTTTTTTTTTAATACAAGTTTGGGTCTTTTATCAAGGTGATGTATTAGAATCAGCGAAAAGGTTAATTATGTGCTAGTAAAAAGGTTGATGTTTGTATTTTTTTCACAGCTAGCTTCGAGATCAAAGATATGATCCGGCTGCTTGTAGAGATGAAAGTGTATCATTACTCATAGCAATATGAGTGTGTATATATATATATATATATATAAAGTTAGATATTGGATATATTTTGGTCTTTTTTAACGTGTGGCAAAGACTTATGTCTTTTGCTTTGCATTCTGCTCTGAGGTCATTTGGAAAAGAAACATTAAGATAGAGTTGTTTCCTATATTTATATCATGCAGTTTAAGCTTATAAAATGTATAACATATATTTTAGGTGTTCTCAACATTGTACTCTTGATTTTGAGTTTCATATCAAATCTATACCTTCTCTTAATTAACTACTAGTTTTGAGCACTTAAATGAGGACTTTTAGCCTTTAAAGATTATCATTAATTTTTTTTATTGGCTTGTTCACTCTATACCTCACAACTAGTAAAGTCATTAGAGTTGTCAAAATAGGGAGAATGTATAAATTTGAAGTGCAAATGAAATCAAAAGGTACAAACTTGAGGACATTAAAACGCATATCAAATGTTTTTAGTAAGATTAAAATACAGGGTATAAAAATAATAAATGTCCCACTAATAAGACATTAACATATTGATATCATTGTAACTTGTACAAAAGTGAGATGATAAGAACATTACATTAAAATAAAACTAAGAGTTTGATTTTTATCTCTTACTTTTAATTAATACCCTTTTGACTAATATAATTATTTAACTAAAAAAATATTAATGAAGAATAAAAAAAAATCTAAACTTGTACATTTTTTAAAAAGTATTTATCTCTTTTTTCCTAAAAAATAAGTACCAGGCCAATTTAAATCTTCAATCAATAAAGAGGGCGTCCAATGAGCCGAAGAGTTCATGAGGCCCGTTACACGTCTCCATTCAGTTAAGCCAATCTGCCTTTGTTGATTCAGCAACACACGACAAATAAATGGGAAAGAATCTAACCAAAGTGAAAATTGGTGGGTTTACTAGCGCTAAAACTACAGTGTCAAATCCTGCGTTTTCTAGTACCAACTCAATTGACCTCACACCATTTCCGTCCAAGTTAAGCTTCATCTTCAACACTTGGAACCCAGAATTTAGCAGTAAGAGCGCTTGCGACTCAAGTATCAGATTCATCACCACTTACCAGTAGATATGGTCAAAGCTATTACGGTTCATGAAATTGGTGGACCTGAGGTCTCTCTATAAACACCACTCTTTTATTTTTATTTCATTTTCCCTCTTCATTATTATTTACTTTGCACATGGAGCTCCTTTATTTATTTATTTGTTTGTTTTCCCAGATTGGAAGTTGGGATTTTTAGCTTTGTGTTTGTAGTACATAATTAATTATCATTTCATGATAACCAAGTTCGGATTTTCGGTGGGATTTTTTTTTTCCCCTAAAAGGGATTAGAATATCATCGGATTTGACTTTAATTACTGCCAAGTTGATGAAGTTGGTATTTGCTGAAATAATCGACTAGTAATAACATTTTTTTTTTTTTTTATGATTTTCAAATTCCCATATCCGATGATGTCAATGCTAATGCTAAACTTCTCTATTTTACTCACTTTGTTGAAAATGATTATGAAAGGTGTTAAAATGGGAAGATGTGGAAATAGGAGAGCCAAAGGATGGCGAGATTCGTGTGAAAAACAACGCCATTGGACTGAACTTCAATGATGTATACTTCCGTAAAGGGGTCTATAAGCCTCCTACAATCCCCTTTATCCCAGGCATTATTTTATTCCTCTAGATCTTACCAATTAAACACAATTTGTTATGATGATAATTGCAGCTTGTAATCATTGTAGTTGTCATTAGCTAATTAATTACTTGCTTCATTGTATGCCAAGTAATTTTACTCTATTCCAGGTAGGGGGGCTTGTGGTGTTGTGACCGCAGTAGGTCCTGGAGTGACTAGCACGCAAGTCGGTGATGTTGTGGCTTATGCTGAGATCCTTCCCACAGACAAAGTTGTGCCTGTTCCGGAATCCGTTAGTCCAATTATTGCTGCATCCATAATGCTTAAGGGTACGACAGCCCAGTTTCTACTCCGCCGTTGATTCAAGGTATATATAATTAGCTATACAGCCTCGTTTTAAGTTTAGCTTTTATGTATATGAGTCGTTACCGTAACAAATCAGGAATGGCCCTTTCGCTTGTGTAGCAAGTGAAGTAGAACTGACAATGCTATTTATGCAATGCTGGTTACTGTGTCTAATAACAGAGTGATAATTGTATCTTTTTTGCGTAATATTGCTTAATTGTCACTGTATAGGTTGAACGCGGACACACAATTCTGGTCCATGCAGCAGCTGGTGGAGTTGGTTATCTATTGTGCCAGTGGGCTAATGCTCTTGGAGCCACTGTCATCAGAACTGTCTCTACAAAAGAGAAAGCCGCTCAAGCCAAGGATGATGGAGCTCACCATGTCATAGTTTACGGGGAAGAGAATTTTGTTGCCCGTGTTAATGAGATTACATCAGGCAACGGGGTTGACGTCGTCTATGATTCTGTAGAGAAGGATACCTTCAGGTAATGGATACTTTTTTACATACCTAAACTACAAAAGTTCTGCTTGTTTGTTGTTGCAAAGATTAAGGCCAGAACCGGATTTTGTTGATTCATAGTAACTTCTGCTTTGTGGTTCTAGTCCGTCGCGGTCCAGAAAGAATTCTTATAGCATAATATTTTTTGTTTACAGGAATCATTGGCATGCTTAAAGCTCCGTGGATACATGGTGAGTGTTAGAATGTCGTCAGGAACACCAGATCCAGTACCATTATTTTTAGGTTGTTAGTTAGTTTAGAATTTGTTGTTAGTTTTCTAGAGTCTGTTAGTGCTTAGTTATGTACTAATGTAACTTACACATGCTTTTGTACACGTGTACTTGTACAGCAGTGTATATATATATATATTCTTGTACTGGTACGAATATTCAATTCAATACAGAGTGAAGAATTCATTCATTTTTGGCTTCTCTGTTTTCGCTTCTTTCGTTTTCACTCGTAATATGGTATCAGAGCATGATTCGCTCGCTATTTGATTTTTTTTTTCTCTCGATTCTTCTTCTACAAGATTGTTGAGTGTTCTTCAATTTCTTCACGAATTGATTCTCTTCCTCAACATTCTTCAATTTCCGGTTGTGTTTCTGATAAGCCCCCCGTGCGTTTTACATATGTTCGGAGGAAACGCCACCACGAGCCAAGGTTGGCAGCTGAAACTCAAGTGGAGGCTGACGTGGAGGGAGGAGCTCGGGAAGAGGAATTAGGAAGTGGCTGAGTCAGTAGGAAGTTACTAGTTAGTTAGCATTGGGATCAGTGAGGGAGAATAAGGCTTAGTAGTATAAATAGAGTAGGAAGGAGAATAGAAGGGTATCGAATCATCTGTATACTTCCGAGAGTGGAACCTAGGAGAGCAAGGGATCTCTCGAAAATCCCCTTATCCCCCCTTGTAACCAATCGTCCGCCATTAATACAATTCAAGCTTCCGATAGTATTCCTAGGAATTCTGTCTCAATTCTACTAACAGAGAATAGGAGTCTAACAGACGTCTTGTCCCCTTTTGTACTCTTCTAGTTTTTATTTTTAATAAAATTTATCGTTTCTTATTAAAAAAAAAGAACCAGAATGTTTCAAAGGGAAAACACAAGTACAAATTCAATTCTACTCTAGCTTTTGTAAATCGAAATATACTTTTCAGCAATTTTCTTTCCTTTTCTTTTAGTCGTTTTAATGAAGTGATGAAATTATTTCCCATGTTGGACTTAAACAGTAATGGAGTTTAGAACTCTTCTGATGGTATTTTTATCTTGCAGCTACCTCCAGCACAACTAGAAAATGCATTGAATAGAACACCAGCTCTGAAAGCACCATTAACTACGCATGCTAGCCAGCCAGATATTCGATCTTCACTTCCAAGGTTCATTGAAATCAACCGTTTCTTTTTGCCCGAGACAATTTAGCAGGAAGGGGGAAGCTATAACCAGTAGTTGGTTACTGACATGATTCATGTTATTATTTTCTGCTTTTTCAGGTCAATATTGGTAGTTTTGGGCATTGCTTCAGATTCCCAGCCCCAAACAAGTCAGCCACAGGCTGCAGAAGCGATCACCTTAGATAAGGAGGTGGTCAAAGAAAAATCTAAAGAATCATCTGGTGCTTCTTGACATGTCAACTCAATTTCCGAAGAGTCTATGAATTTGGCATTGATGAATCCAGCAGACGCATCACCGGCTTGTCGGGATCAATCTTACCTTCCAAGTGCTGACTAATGTTGTCCAATGTTTTGGCTCAGAATGAAAATCAAACACGCAGGAAAATCCATCAGTCGTCTTCTCAGATGGAAAAGCAATGGTTATGTTGTACTATACCCTATAAGCGGACATAGATAGAGCATGTTTCCAGGTCACAATAAGTAGCTGCGCCATCCGATTTCACTGATAACCGGGCAAATTAGATAAGAGTTACTGTCGGAATTTTGCCTGTGGAATAATGCGTTGATAGTATAAGTTCTACTTTTAAGATATGTTTACTTTTACATGTATTGATTTGTTTACTTTTAACATAGAAATGATGATTTAATAGTGTCAGCATGTAGAGAATGTGACAAGGAAATCTTAATCCCAAATCTTCTCTTGGTATTATTTTACGTTGAGTACAGTAAACATTGGATTATTTTTATATGGTTATTTTATTATGCATAGAGACATTTTAGTAATTAACTTTATAAATTTTGTTGCCCAACTTTAAGTAATGGTAGCTAAGCTTTATTTATTTCACTTGATCAAGTTAAAAAGTGAATTCATATGAGAAAACACTGCAATTAAAAAAGTTAAATTTAAATTTTTATTAGAGAAATTATGTAGTAAGAACTTAAATTATGATTTAAACTAACGTAACGAACGGTCAGATTGTTTCTGATTCCACTTCATAATAGGGATAAGTAAACAACAGAAAGAGAATACTATTAACCCATTACGTTATCCATTACTTTCTATTGGATGGTATCTTCTGGTTTGAAGCTTGGGCAACCCTTTCTTTTTCCCCCCAACGACGTAGGAGCTAGATTAAAACTGTGTTAATACTGTCCAATCTGTAGACGACAGCCAATAATCGAATAAAGATAGCAGGTTTTTAAACACCTGCTTTCTTTGAAAAGAGTAGTATTAGGACGCCACTAATCACAGTGAGAAATCAATTGTCCTCCGTTTACAGCAGTTAATTGTGACACTAGTGCTTGTTTGCCACTCCTACAAACCCTGAATAAATGTAGCATAGCAAATATATCCAAGAGAAACTAAAGAGTCTTGCATAACAAATCACCTCTCAGTAATGCCATTATTAAGTCCGTACTGTGGTTGTAACTTGTACCTTTCTGTTTGAAAAGGCAGAAGAAAACTAATCAGAGCGGAAGGATTTCACATAACAACGAGAAGACTCAGAAGCAAACATCTCACTTTCAGAGTACATGAAGATTGATTCATAACTATTTCGCAAACCTTACAATTTAATCCTTACAGCCAGGGCAAAAAATCAGAGTTGAGCTCATTCATGACAAATTTCGTGGTTTGTTAAGAATCTCCCTGGAAGCTTTTTCTCCCAGAGGAAATCTCAAAAGAACATATAGTACCCTCTGCGCAAACTCTTAATATAGAACCAGAGGCACCTGCCTGAGAAGAACCAGCTGTTTTGAAACTTGGTTAACATCACATTGGCGAACCAAATACAGGAATTCCATGCATTTGAAACCATTCTGGCATGCGGAATCTATCACAAAGCACAGGCCTGACATCTTTTTGCTTGGAGAGATGTTTAAGGAGTGGAAGCAGGACTTCCAAAAGCTATGCAATCCACACGACAGAAGTAATCACAAACTATGAACGTTGCATTTCTTTTTAAGCAACCATTGGTCTTTTTGAAAAAAGTCAATATATTACCTGATCATCATATGGTTGTCCAGCGGAGAATGGAATACATGGTATACCATTTGAGGGTTGTAACAAGAAACTAAATGGATTGTTGTCGACGATTACAACTCGAGACAAATCCTTTGATAAATTAGACAGGTCCTTCACATGTTCTCGATATTCCCTGTCATTGACATCAATGTAATGTCAATAAAGTAGTAAATGAGCTGTGTGATTTTTAGCGGAATTCTCGCTCAAGTGATTGTTGAGTTTATGGAGATGTACCGAGTTTTTCACAAAGGTATTTGAATCAAGATTCAAAGTGCAGTTACTATAATGAGTCATACTTTTATGTTACTTTTACAAAATAAATAAATAAATATGGATACTTCGGGAAGAATATCATGGTTTATGAGTAATACTTACGTGCTAACTGTAGAAGGACGATAAAGACGAAGGCTGAATCGGTTCTCCGCATCTATCCTGTCAACAAGTGGTCTAGCATAGCCTGCACGGTATTTTTAGAGAATTAGTGAGAAAAGAAAAGATTTAAGAATAAAACGGAGAAAGGGAAAACGAAGCTTAATTGAAACTAGTATAACATTAAACCTTCAAGACCAGCAGTAAATAGGACGAGCACAGCAAATTCACCGATCTGTTTCAAAAACTCTTGCAAACCAGGTCGTTCAAACACAGTCACATAACTTATCTTTGGTTTACCATCACATTCCTTCATTAGATATAAGCACATTAATTATGTCGTAATGACAATCAGACCGAACATAAAAGTTACAGCGAGAAAGATAGACAGAGACCGACCTTGTCCGAAGACACACATTCTAACTCAAACCACTTCAACCCAGCTTCCGTAGCTTGAATTTTAACAATGGCAGGCAAGCTAGATGTCTCATAAGCACATACAAGTGTCTCATCCAAGTCAAGAACCACCTGTATCACCAAGTTGATTCATTAATTCATTGAGTCAGATATTCATATCATCCTGTCTCCATTCTAACCAATTGTGGAAAACTCAAATCCCTTCAGTAATTGGACGGAATCAATTACCCGGGCTTACTAAATAATTTCTTATAATGTAGAGGACTCCATCTATTATAAGAAACTAACAAACTATTTGCACAATGTAAAAAGTAGCCGACCCTTGCATTTAGTTAGGAAGTTATTTATTTTCTTAGAATAGATTTCAGTTTCTGTTTTCCTTATTTAGATTTTGTAGTTTCCGGTTTTTTTCCTGATTTGGTGAAATTCCTGATTTTCAGGGATTCTATTTCCCTTTCTCGGTGGACTGGTTTGTCAGCCATCCTAGCCTATATATTAGGTTGTATTTCGTTGTTTATGAATAAGAATAATCGGAATTATTCCATTAATTTCTTCATGGTATCAGAGCCTTGGGTTTCTGAACCCTAATCTTCTCCAAACATCTTTTTCCCTTGCCGTACTCTCACCATGACAAAATACGGCATGGCATCACAATCCTCTTCCTCGGAAATCACTTCTAGATCCGAGCCTAATTCTTCAGCCCCTATTATCCCTGATTCTTCCTCTCATCTTGTCACAAATCATAAACTTCATGGCCATAATTTTCTTCAATGGTCACAGTCCGTTTTTATGTACATCTGCGGCAGAGGGAAGGATGGACATCTCACAGGCGAAATCTCTGCTCTTGAAACAACATATCCGAAATACAGGGCCTGGAAAACTGATGATCACCTGGTTATGTCATGGCTAATAAATTCCATGACCACGGAGGTTGGAGAGAACTTTCTGCTCTACAGGACAGCCAAGGAAATATGGGAGGTTGCACGTGAAACGTATTCCAGCACTGAGAATTCCTCAGAGTTGTTTGAGATTGAGACCAGATTGTATGATCTACGACAGGGAGAATTCATGTTTCTCAGCTACGTCGGGTGGTTGGACAAGGGCAGGCCATCTCATCTCTGCCAGCCCAGCTGACCGGTGATTTGGAGATGTGCGCAGAGCCGACTGATCTGCTTGGGGTGCGACATACGCCTCATGGGGGTCGTTCTGATTTGGAGGTGTTGATTCGTTGGGCTCAATTGCCGGAACATGAAGATACGTGGGAGTCGTATGCTGCTATTGATGCACAATTTCCTCACTTTCACCTTGAGGACAAGGTGCGTCTTTGGGGCGGGGGTAATGATAAGCCCCCCGTGCGTTTTACATATGTTCGGAGGAAACGCCACCACGAGCCAAGGTTGGCAGCTGAAACTCAAGTGGAGGCTGACGTGGAGGGAGGAGCTCGGGAAGAGGAATTAGGAAGTGGCTGAGGCAGTAGGAAGTTACTAGTTAGTTAGCATTGGGATCAGTGAGGGAGAATAAGGCTTAGTAGTATAAATAGAGTAGGAAGGGGAATAGAAGGGTATCGAATCATCTGTATACTTCCGAGAGTGGAACCTAGGAGAGCAAGGGATCTCTCGAAAATCCCCTTATCCCCCCTTGTAACCAATCGTCCGCCATTAATACAATTCAAGCTTCCGATAGTATTCCTAGGAATTCTGTCTCAATTCTACTAACAGAGAATAGGAGTCTAACAGTTTCTTCTTCAATTTCCATGGGAACTCCGAGATCTGGTGATTCTACTTCTTCTGGCAAATAAGCCATTGATGATCCCTTGAGTCCATATTTTCTTCATCATTCCGACAGTCCTGGCCTTGCGCTTGTCTCACAACAACTGACTGGAGATAACTATGCCTCCTGGAGTCGAGCGATGATAATTGCTCTTTCGGTGAAGAACAAGCTAGGGTTCATCGACGGATCTATTCGGAAACCAGAAGGTACTGATTTGAACCTTTTTAATTCATGGACCAGAAACAATAATGTTGTTATTTCGTGGATTTTAAATTCCGTATCGAAGGAAATCTCGGCCAGTATACTTTTCTCTGAATCCACTTGTGAAATTTGGATTGATCTTAAGGATCGATTCCAACAAAGCAATGGACCTAGGATTTTTCAGCTTCGTCATGAACTGATTAATCACAATCAAAATTAAAATTCTGTTGGTGTTTATTTCACCAAACTTAAAGCGTTGTGGGAGGAATTGAGCAATTTCCGCCCTAATTGCACTTGTGGAAAATGCACTTGCGGTGGTGTAAAGGAATTAACCTCCTACTTCCAGATGGAGTATGTCATGTCCTTTCTAATGGGATTGAATGACTTTTTCTCTCAAATTCGTGGTCAGTTGTTGCTACAGGATCCCATTCCGCCCATAAACAAAGTGTTTTCCTTTATTTCTCAAGAGGAACGTCAAAGGATGGTTAGCAATCAAGTCACCTCTGGGAATTTTGATCCTATTAACAATTCGGCTTTTATTGTTCGTAATGATGTTAACAAGAAATCAGTGGAGAGGCAAGTTTTTCTGGTGGAAATCGTTATCCAAAGAGGGAAAGGCCTTTCTGCACCCATTGTAATTACCATGGTCATACTGTTGATCGTTGTTACAAGCTCCATGGTTACCCTCCTGGATTCAAGTAGAAACAAAAAGGCCAGAATGTGTCAGTTAATCAGCTCTCAAATAAGCCTTTTTCTGAAGACCAGAGCACTGGAGACGTTGGGGGTTTCATCAAGACCTTGAACGGCAATCAATATCGGCACCTGATGAGCATGCTTTCCTCTCATTTGGCTGCTTCAGTTACAACCTCTAATCAGCCAGAGGATTCCTCAGGTACACATTTGGCAGGTATATGTTATTCTGTTCCTTCGGCATCTTATCTTTCTTCTGAACGTATTTGGATTGTTGATTCTAGAGCTTCCCAGCACATTTGTTTCAATGCAAATGTTTTTCTTTCCATGAGACCTATAAGGAATGCGTGGGTTACTCTGCCAAATAATGTTAGTTTTCTTGTTAGTCTTTGTGGAGATGTGAGATTAAATGCCCAACTGATTCTCAAGGATGTTCTGTTTGTCCCCCAATTCAAATTTAATTTGAACTCTGTGAGTGCTCTAAGTGCTACTTCTCAGCTTACCTTTGAGTTTTTCCCTGATCACTTCAAGGTTCAGGATCTTGCCAGCCGGAGGATGATTGGCAAGGGTGATAGAGTTGCAGGCTTATATGTGTTCTTGACAGGTTTCCTAGCAGATTCTTTGCAAAACACTTTTCCTATAAGTGTAAATAATGTTTCATTTCATACTTGGCATTGTCGATTGGGCCATTTATCTTCTAAAGTACTAGGAGTTTTGAAAAACACTTTACATTTTCCTGATCCATTTTGTAACAGCAATAATCCCTGCTACATTGTCCATTGGCAAAGCAGCGGAGATTGCCCTTTGTTTCTCATAATCATAAATCACAATTTCCTTTTGATCTTGAACATTGTGATATATGGGGCCCTTATTATTTGAGTGCTACGTCTGGCCATAGATTCGTCCTCACTCTTGTTGATGACTGTACCCGATTTACATGGGTTTTTCTTCTTGGGCATAAGTCTGATGCAGCAAGGATTTTACCTCGTTTCTTTAATCTGGTTCACACTCAGTTTGACAGTAGAATAAAGGTTTTTCATTCTGATAATGCTAAGGAGTTGGATTTTTCTGAATTTTTCTCTGAGAAAGGTGTTTTACATCAGTTTTCGTGTGTTGATAGACCTCAACAAAATTCTGTTGTGGAGCATAAACATCAACATCTTCTCAATGTTGCACGGGCGTTGTATTTCCAGTCAAGGGTTCTACTTTCTTTTTGGAGTGAATGTGTGCTTACAGCGACATTCCTCATAAATAGGACCCCTTCTCCTTTCCTTGGGAACAAATCTCCTTTTGAACTGCTCTATAAAGCTTATGTGGATTATTTGTCACTTTGGGTGTTTGGTTGTTTGGCTTTTGCCTCAACTCTACCAACTCACAGAACCAAGTTTGATTCTCGAGCTTGGGTTTGTGTTTTCTTGGGTTATCCAACAGGCATGAAAGGTTACAAGTTGTATGATGTGAAGACAAAATAATTTTTTGTTTCTCGGGATGTTGTGTTCCATGAGGATGTTTTTCCATTTCATACTGTTGTTCACACAGATTCTTTGGTGGATCCTTTTGCTGATTTTGTTTTGCCGTCTCCATCTCTTGATTCTATTTCATCCTCTTTTCAGCCTCAAACCGTTTCTTCTTCATTTCCTTCCCCAGACCATGGTTCTACATCAGCCATAGTTCCACTGAGACATTCTTCCACGACTATTCATCCACCTTCTTATCTTCGTGATTTCCATTGTAGTTTGGTTTCTCTTCAGCCTTTTCCCCATTCCACCTCATTATATCCTCTATCTCGCTACATGTCTTATGATTCTCTCTCTTCTTCCCATAAGCATTTTGTTTTAAATGTTTCTTCCCAGTTTGAACCCCAGTTTTTCCACCAAGCTGTCAAATTTCCACATTGACAAGATGCTATGAAGGAAGAATTGTCTGCCATGGAACTCAACAAGACATGGTCTCTTGTTCCTTTGCCTGTTGGAAAACACACCATTGGATGCAAATGGGTGTACAAAATCAAGTATAAAGCTAATGGTTCGATTGACCGATATAAAGCTCGCTTGGTTGCTATGGGCTATACACAACAAAAGGGCGTGGATTTCACTGAAACTTTTTCTCCGGTTGCCAAGTTAGTTACTGTCAAAATTTTGCTTGCTCTCGCTGCAAGTCATGGCTGGCATTTGGTGTAGTTAGATGTTAATAATGCCTTTTTAAATGGGGATTTATTTGAAGAAGTCTACATGGATCTCCCTCTTGGTTATCAAAGTTAGGAAATTGCGGTTAATCATGCGCAGAAGCTTGTGTGCAAGCTTCATAAGTCAATTTACGGCCTTAAACAAGCTTCACAGCAATGGTACTCAAAGTTTTCTCATGCCTTGATGAAGTTTGGATTCACTCAGTCAAAATTTGATTACTCTCTTTTTGTTAAAGGCTCGGGGTCCAACTTTGTAGCCTTGTTGGTCTACGTTGATGACATCATTATTACTGGTCCGTCTCATGCTGTCATTGCTTCTCTCAATGAGTTTTTGCATACTCAGTTCAAGCTCAAGGATCTCAGTCCATTGAAGTACTTTCTTGGCCTGGAGATTGCTCGGGCTTCCAAGGGTATTGTCCTTTCGCAGCGACACTATACTTTGCAACTACTTGAAGACACGGGGTTCTTGGCCTCCAAGCCTGCGGTTGTTCCAATGGATCCTAAATTCCAGCTTAATGCTACTGATGGGGAACTTTTGACGGATCCTTCTCAATATAGACGTCTCATTGGCCGTTTGTTGTACCTCACTCTTTCCCGTCCTGACATTACCTTTGCTGTGCATAAACTCAGCCAGTTTTTGTCGAAGCCACGGGTTCCTCATTTGCAGGCCACTCATCATCTTTTGTGGTACCTTAAGAATAAGCCTGGGCAGGGTTTATTTTTTTCTTCCTCTTCTTCTATGCAGCTCAAGGCGTTTTCTGATGCTGATTGGGCATCTTGTCCTGTAATGACTGAGAA